TTGAACTTTTTTGGCATCTTGTTTCCAGAATTAGTCCAATAATCAATTGCATCCAAGTATTTAGCCAAATGAGTGCTCCATCCCTTACAAATAATATCTCTCAGATCAAACAATGGTATGTAATTCAACATACTGTCATATACTATCGTCTTCAGAGATGGGAGCTGAAGCTCGACGAGAAGCCAATGACGACGTTCCATAACAGGGATAAACACCTGCAATCATAAATAATAGTTCAATTGCGTACATCAAATATTTATGAACACATTTAAAATATTCACAAATAAATACTAACTTTATCGACCTCCCACCACGCAGGATAAAGTTTAGCTTTTCCATTACCCAACACATATAAAACATCTCTCTGATCATTCAAGTGAGCTACGTGAAAAGACGAAGGCATAATAGTCCATCGCGTATTTTTTATTTTCTTCAATTTCCTTATTATCAGAAGACGTGAAACCCATGCATCAATATACTGTTTTATAAAAAAATACATATATTAGTGAATTTAATGAATTTAAAAAAAATTAATCAAAATGCAATATAAGAAAAATATAAGACTTACCCCCCATTCGAAATAGCCATTGTCTTCAACCCCTAATAAAACACCCCACCAAGACCGATCAAGAAACAAATGCATATCATCGTCGAGTTTGCATATGTCAGCGTAACACCCCTGGCTCTGCTCATGTAGATAAAAATCAACTACGGTCTTAGCCCAAAGGGTATTATCCTTAATTGTGTTCGGTAGTGTTCTCCTCTCCACTTCAGATACCGGATACCGGAATGGTACTGACCGGTAACTGATACGAAAGCCAAATCTAATCCATCATATCGGGCACGTGAGGAGGTTTATCAATATGTCGACATAATATGCCATGTGAATCGGGCTCTTGAACGGTGGGAGGGGCCTCTTGAACGATGAGAGGGGCCTCTTGAACGGTAGGAAGGGCCTCTTGAAAGATAGGGGGCCTCTTGAACGATAACAGGTGAATCGGGCTTCTTCTTACGGAGTCTTGGAAGTATTGGGGTGAAAGGAGACATAATGGCACGTGCACGACGTCTGATGCGTGAACCCCGTCGTGCAAGAAAAACCCGATGTAAAGCATCTACCTTATCGGGCCGCAAAAAATAAATTAATACATAATTCAGTAAATAAACAAATAAATAATGCCGAAAAAAGGTTATTTGCATTTTTAGTATAGTATTAAACAAACTTACCTCATTACGTAGAGTATGAACATCATTCTGCAACGTTGAAACAATCTCACGTAGAGCGCCTACCTCATCACATAAAGTAGATACCTCACCACGTAAAGTAGATACCTCACCACGTAAAGCACCACTGTCATCGCGTAAAACCTCTACCTTACCACGTAAAGATCGTACCTCATCACGTCATGCACCATTGTCGTCACGTAAAGTACTGACCTCCTCACGCAAAGCACTGACCTCATCACGTATCTCCCCTAACTCATCCAGTGGAGGTGGAGAATAGGAAGATAAATGTCGTGGCATCTTTGCCGGTCGCCTATCATGAGGTGATGGTGGAGAAGAGGCTCGATGATGTGATGGAATAGGTAATGAATCTCGTTGTGGAGGTGTATAATCGGCTCGATCAGGTGATGGCTCTCGAAGTGGGGGGTGCTCATCATCTGTTCCATCAAAAAAACGCTTACTAGCTTGCCACCAATCAGTGGCAAGCTCAGCCTCTGTGGGTGTCAGCCTCTGTAATGGATAGTTGGCCTCCTAACAATATAATAGCTCAAACAAAGTTAAATGTCTACTAGTAATAACTTGTTTATATATGGTAGTATTTATGTTAACTTACATCATTCATCGTCGTATATGGTAGTAACTCTTCCCAATCCAATAGCTGGATCCTCCTCCAGGAAATAGCCCTAGGAATATCATTTGAATTTTTGATTGCATATGTCTGCATGCTGGGAAAAGCCTCAAATATCCAAATCTACAAACAATATAATACATAAACATTAGTAATTGTTAAATAATTAATTATAATTTTGGAAACATTATATAGAAATTCTTATCTTAAAGGCCCAAATAAAGCCTGCCAAAGTGTATTTGGAACCATGGCCACGCAAACTTTTTCGGTCCTCAAAGGCAGAAGACAACTTTTTCCAGGTAGCTTCCATAGATATGAACCCCACGGAAAGACGTTCCATGCATTTAGGTCCTCTACCAATAATATTAGGTCCTCAGAAATAGGTTGTCTGGCCTCTTTGCCTAAAAGTCGGCATGCAAAAGTAATAAAAGGCATACTCAGACAACATCGAGGTCATCAATCTGAGTAAAACCATCTTTAACAAGTAATCTTTTCAAGTCATCGACGTGTAAACCGGGCTTCGCCTTTGCCAGCTCAGGAAAAACCCGAGATAACCATGAAGGGCATGAGATATGACTAGTATATTGACCTACTTCATCGTGTCCGAAGCATAAACCAGTGATTAAGCAAAACTCCTCCCACCCAAAACAAGTATACGCCGGTGGAAAATGAAACCATATCTCTTCATCACCACGTTGTATCCTCTCAAGTAGATCGTTAGTCATGGTCTGAAGAAACAAATGGGTCAACATAGCATCTCCACCTGGATGTTGTACTTTCAGCCATGGCCTGAAGCAAGTATTCTCAAACAATTTTCTTTGTATAGGTGTAAGTATCGACGCTATTGTAGTGGCTAGGCTTAATTTATTCCTTAGAGTCAATAAAGCCGAAAAAAAAATTCTAACAAAAACAATAAACATACCAAGTTAGATATACCAAAAACTACAAATACACTATAAACAGACATGATATTAAATAGTGAAAATAAAGCCAAATATGTTTCAAACTAGCACGGTATTCACCCAAGTCATTATTCTATCATAGTTCACAAAATGCATCAGATAACATTCCAGAAGTAAGCACTTATATAAACATTTAAAAGGACAACATATATGTTTAGTGCAGGTTCAAGGACAACATAAAGAGTAGTAGTTTATTCTTGAAACTTAAATTCGCAACACTGTGAAGTTAGTATTTGTCTTTGTTTTTTGGTTGAAGTAATGCAATTCATTCAAGTTTCAATTTGCAGAAGAAAGTTTTTGAAACTTAAATTCGCAACACGAAAATGAAAATCGCAACGCGATTTTAGTTTCGCGTTGCAATTTTCATTTTCGCGTTACGATTTTATTTTCAAAAACTACTCTTCTTCTGCAAATTGAAACTTGAATGAATTGCATTACTTCAACCAAAAGACAAAACAAATACAAATACTAACTTCACAGGGTTAAAGACTAAACAGTTTAACAGTATTGGCAGCAACAGAATGAATTTACTAAGCAATCTAAGTGAAATGGTTAATCTATTATTGAAATTACCAGTAAATTTATCATTAATTCAAATATGAAAAATCTAATAATAATACAAAAATTTCAAAATAAAATAATTAAAAAATAACCCTCGGTGGTTGATTTTTCATTTGTGACCGTGAATGGTTGTGAGGGTGGCTCTGAGAGATGGAGATAGACGGATTTCACCGGAGACGGGGACGGATTTCGTCGGAGATGGGGACGGATGTCGCCGTAGAAAGTGAGAGTTGGAGATGAGACTGAGTTGTGATTTAGGGTTTTAGGTTATGATTTGCGATTATACTGTTTACATTTGTGTTGCGAAATTAATATTGTGTTTCGAATTCGAAAATAAAATTCGCGTTGCGAAAATAAACGCACTTTGCGAATTTGACTTCTGTGTTGCGAATTACAAATTCGCGTTGCGATTTACATATTCACGTTGCGAATTTTGGAAACTGAGTTGCAAAATTGGAGTTTGCATTGCGAATTTGTTGATCATTTTTGCAAATCCAAGAAAATGGTTAAAATCGTATATTATAAGGTATTTTCGGTCACTGGAGTTATTTTCTCTTATAAAAAATTATCAATGAGAATCACGATAATTGAGTTAGATAATATTGATTATGTATTATAAAAACATAAAATCTATAATAAAAGCAAGAGAGAAACTATAGAGAGGGAATATTACTTTTCAATTGTTTGTATCTAATAATTTTTTACTAAGTTACTTTTTAGAGGACAAATGATGAGTATGATTAACATTTATACATCATTTTTCATATGCTTCTAGAGAGACATTTGTTCGCTAAGTTTAGTAAGTGTGAATTTAGTTATTTTAAGTGACTTTTTTAGGCCACGTAGTTGTGGTGAATGGTATTTTTGTTGATCCGTAGTTGTGGTGATTGGAAACTGTTAGAAATATCTTTGAGGTTTGTAATTTTATCGGGTTAAATTAATCTTTAAGTTGAAAATATTAAAATATATTTTATTTTATATAAAATATTATAAAAAATTAACATTTTAACATTAGACTAATTTAAAATATAAAAGAAGAAATTGAATTAAGCATTAACATTTTAAACTTAGGGACTACTTTAAAAGCTTTTCATTAGTTGGGGACTTCTGTATAATTAGACCACATATAGAAAAATAAATTATATATTACCATTTTAAACTTAGGTACGTACTAATTTAAATTATAAAAGAAAAAATAAATTAAACATTAACATTTCAAACTTAGGGACTACTTTAAAAGCTTTTCTTTAGTTTGAGAACTTCTGTATAATTAAACCACACACAGAAAATTTGACAATTTGCAGAGATCGTGGATCGAACACGCGACCTTCATATCATCAGCCTGACGCTCTCCCAACTGAGCCCGCCGTTGTTTAACGTTAAAATATTATAATTTTTAGTTTAAATATTTCATTTCTTCTCCGCTTTCACTTTCTTCCCCAGAAAACCCTTTATAAAATGCCATTCATATTGAAAATTAAAAGGAAAACATATAACAATCGATTTCTTTAGTCAACTTCCATTGTCATTGACAATGACGCTTCTTTATTTTCGTATTGGGTAATCTAACCAAACAAAACCCTAACCTTTCTCCTTTTTGTTCAATACTTTTCTTTACTTACTTTTTTCCTGGATTTATTTTTCTCCATTTCTCAGCTGGGCAGGAGAGACTGAACCACGGGTTATTTTCCGTAAGACCTTGCCACAAATCCTCCGGTATTTTTTTCTTCTTCAAATTATTCTCAAGTAAAACCCCAAGACTACAAATTTAATTCTTCTGGTTATTTTTTGGGCAGGGGAGTCTGTGACAGTACTTGCTGACCGTGATACTACCTTACTGAGATACTTTGATTGCACCCGTTTAGGTACTCCGTCTGCTTTCAATGGCAGAGTTGTTTTTGAGTTCGAAATCATGGAATATGTATGTATTTTTAACATTTTTTAATATCAATTTTTTTAAACATTTTTTGTTCTAAGGTGCAATGATAAGTTTATGGCTTCTCTTATACTGCCATGAATGATGTAGCGTGCTTCTGGTTTTGTTGGCAATCAGGAATAGTTCAGCATTATGCAATTCTCAGGAACAATGGTAAGTTTGTGGTTTCTCTTGACATCTCTTGAATGATCTAATATGCCTCGGTTTTGTTTGGTAATTAGGAATACTTTCTATGTTTGACATATGAATTTTAATTTATTCTTTCTTGTGTTGTTGTTTATTTGAGGGCAGAACAGATTGATCATCCTATCCTGATCACAGAATGTGTGCAATCCAGTTCAATCTCCAGCAAAAATGGCAGAACTTCTTTTCGAGACTCACGGAGTTCCATCTGTAGGTATAAAACACTCATTCTAATGTCGCATAACATATCAGGCTCATTTGTTTTAACCGACTGATACACGGTCCTGTTATATTTTATGTATAGTATATCTGATGCTTGACATTTTTCTGCTTGTGAGTTGTGACTGCAGATTCTTGTGTCGATGCTATATCAGCTGCGTGAGATTTGTGAGAAAGATACATGGTCTAGCTATTGGTGGATGTATATCAGCTGCGTGGGATTTGTGAGAAAGATGGTCTACCTATCTCTCCAGGGTCAACTCATGCCATTCCAGTATGTTTCCTAACATTCATAATTTACCTTGATTCATATATTTTCAAAGTTGTAGTGATTGTTATTTAGTTTTCGAGCATGTTAGCAAGTTGGCATGATGACAGTAACACTAAGTTAGTTTCTCGTAGAATTTTCCTTAATTCTTGTTACACTTTAGCATCATCAAAAATGTTGGGCACTGGCATCCTCACCATGCCTCCACCAATAAACATGTTTTACTCATCTCATATATGGCTGGAAAAGGAAGGTATATATATCATGTAATGTACTTTAGGATTTCAAAAATGTCTTGGGGCAATGGATTACAGATCCAACTAACCCGGACACAAGCATTGAAGTTCAGATTTATAATGTGGTTTGTTTGAATTCAGTTTGTTGATGGGGAGCCTGTTTACAAAGGATGCTCCAGAACTAACATCAGTGCGGTGGATACCATGTCACTGACAATTTGAAGCAACTTCTTTCACTTAGGTATCCTCATCATATGCGAGTATAGATTCAGCTGGATTGCAAGAATCCAAACCTGTTTGCATTAGAGAATCTGATAATGTTGTCTAAATGACTATAAAGGGCTAGATTCATGTGGGAAAAGATTTAAGATGGAACACTGCTATATTACTCAAGATTACGCTTTAGAAGCTCGATTATTCCAGGTAATGGCTTTGGGTTTGTTTTTCCTTCTGTGATCCTCTTTGCAACTGCCGAGAAAGGTATATTATTATAACAGAAAGGGGACCGCTCATGTGGGTTCTGCGAAGAGGTCTTCCAGAATTAATGAACTTGAAAATCAATTGCATGGATTGGAATTTCTTTTGCAACAACTTGAACAAGTTCAAGAGGAAGAAATCCCTTTGTTCCTTTCGAAGACCGGTTATGTTTCTAGACAGGAAATAGAATTAACTCTTGCAAAAGTAAGGCCAAGGCTGAACAAGCTGAAAATAGTACTGGACCAGCCGTACAAACCAATGGAATTGAGAACTAGTTGACTATCTGGTCCAACGTTGTATATAAACACGGCTTTCCAATGAACAACATAGAATCGGTTTAACTAGTTTAAAATCAGTTGCGAGTACTATACACACATACACACTCTTTAGAATTAATATTTGTGTCATTCCTTTATCAATTATCTTATTGCTCGGCATTCTTCACTATGGCTTTTTTATGTAGAACAGCTGCTCTTTCACCGACCACATCGAGGCACTAAACAAGGAGAATGGATATAGCAATGTTCGTTAAAGACAAATTTCTTAGAATCTGCGAGAGCTTAGCACAAAAAATGCTCAGCAATGCAGATCATTCTCTCGTATTGGTCAATATGCCCACTGCTGCTAACCTAGATGATGCATCAAGTTTGCGCTTACGGTTCAGCTCTGACATTTTGAACAGTTCAATTCCTTGTTTAATTACCGTTACTGTTGAAGGCAAGTACTCCGATCCATTAAAGTTTTCGCCCTGAATCTGTTAAACAGAATATTCAATTTCTTAGTTGAACCTCTCCTTATTTAAATCATTTTTGGTGAGTTTAGTAGAAATTAAGGGCACTGTCAATGTCTTGGGCAATCTGAGACGGGGATTGAAAGTCGGATTTCGAGCTTAACTGTGACGTATCTGAAATTGAACGACTGAATGTATAGAAACTTATGATTTTCGAATTATTAATGTATTAAATTCATGTAAATATATAGCACTCAAATATGATCATGACACAAAGGTTGTCAGATCTAGCGGCCTCTCTAGTTTTCTTCGATAACCTTACCGTGTTTTCATTGCAGTTTCTGCAACATGTGGCAGTACTGAACTCAATGCACCACAATACATAGACAGCAGAGCTCCAGCATCAAAGCGATCATGCTTCCTGCAAATTCAAAAAAAGAAGACTTAATGGTGTACACATATAACTAGGGTTGAGCATGGTTTTGAACGGTCTTAAAACCAAAATCATGAATCATATGTGCAAGACTGATCTTAAAAGCTGTGAACTGTATGAATTGGCTCACAACTTTTAACACCGATTTTAAGGTCATAAACCGTTGCTCACCCTTTACATACAACATTGAAGGCAAAAACACACCATCCCAAGTCATGGCATCAGCATTCAACACGCAACTGCAACATCTGGTTGCGATTTCTTGTGGTCAGGTTCAATAAGCAGAGGATTTTTCTGGAAGTTATTTCTTAGCTGACCGCAGGCAGCACTTGCATCCAGACCCCTTGTTTGACGAATACTAACAGTTATCTTGCGGGACTCAAGTGCACCTGCAAATGCTGACACCTGTGGAATGTAATAAAAGGGTTTACATATAAGATAAAGAAATTGTAGAGCTTTATATCGGTAAAAAAACAAGGACAAAACAATATATAGTTGTTGGCATACTGCTTTTTTGTATGGCCGTCGATACTCAGAACCCTCTATCGGATTGAAGGGTATCAGATTAACATGATAACCACGTCCCCACTCATGCAGTAGATCAGCTAGTTCTCGTGCCTGTTCTACTGAATCATTCACTCCAGCTGCATCAAAACAAAACAAAAGGATTACAGCTTTAAACCACTTCTTGATGCCCCTGAAGTAGTAACTAGGCATATGCCTGAGACGCAAAGTGCTAAAAAAGTTATCGCCTGAGTAAAATATGGTGCAATATATCTGTGTGCATATTTACTGTCTACATATAAATAAAGCTGTCCAATTAATCTTACAAAACATTAAAAATGCTTGGCAATAGACCATATTTCTTTGTGGTCTCATGCCTGATGTTGAATGTTCAAATATTGAGAAGCAAAGAAATTGATATTATCCCTTTCTCTTACTAGAAAAGGTACAAGTAATAAAAACTGAAGAAACTAAAAATAATTTCAATTGGGCAAACCTTTCTTGTGCTGCCTAGATGAACCAAGCATGTGCCAAGCACTTTTGTTGTCTGGCACTAAGGCACAAGTGCCTAGATACATGCCCTGACAACAATGGGCAAACAAGAAACTTTTTAATATGAAATTTCAGGTACCTAGCAGTGCATACTCAAAGGAGACTCGTCGACTGGTTTCGGCAAAGTAATCTCGGCAGTCCTTCATGATTGCATCAAGGGGGTAGGATTTCGCACTGGGCACAATCATTTCCCTGAGTTCCTGGTTTGGAGCATGTAAGCTAATGACAATGAAGTGAGTTAAATTTAACATTTAAAAAGCCTCAGAATCAAAATCATTCAGATATTCAAGTCAAGTTGCAGTTTTTACACAAGACAAACCTGACAGCCAATGTTGACTGAAGCTTGTGAGAAGCTAGTTTTCTTATGGTGTTTGGAACTCCCACAGTGGAAATTGTAATCATTCTTTGCCCAATTTGTATATCCTGGAGATAAGAAAAAAGAAAAAAACATTGGAGATGAGCTTAATATAAAAAGCCACATAAAATCATTTACTAGCCTGATCAAACTCAAGATGTAAGATGTACAACTCAAGCTTAGCTCAAATTTTGATGCTCAAAGCTCGGTTCAAACTCAATTGAATTTTACTTCAAAAGTTTGACCTTGCTTTGAAATAAAGATCACACTGCTCGACCCAATCAATTAGGCTCATTTATGGGAGTTGCCTGTCGAGCATTAGAATACTCGAATTCAACTAATATGATAGCTTGAATTGCTCTAAAACAAAAATAACTGATCTAGATTCAAATTGTTTTCCGAGCCGAACCTGAGTAGCTAGTGACACAGATGTCATAGAAACGAAGGTTTCCTTTATTAGGAAGAAAAAGAAGAGAAATCAACTGCATTTTATATGTTGTCAGAAAATTTTGCAACTTGCAAAAATGCACCTTATTCAAGCATCGATGAGCGTCAAGTACAGACTTCAAATTCAACATGGGCTCCCCCATCCCCATGAAGACTACATTTGTAACCCTGTGCTTGAAAATATCCTCAATAGCCAATACCTGTTCACACAAATTGTCTTTACCACATTACCCAAACTATAACGTCATCATAAATTCAAATGGAAAAAACAGCTTCTGTTCTTCCAAAATATAGCAATTCAGCTAGGATTTGAATTTCAAAGCTACTAAATACCACATGTTAAGGGTGGTTGCTTGAATCAACTGTACTAAATTCTGGAAAAAGCTTTGAAAAGCATGCATGTACATGCAAAAAGAATTGAAGAAACGGATCATATATCTGCTCGATAATTTCATGCCTTTGAAGATTCCTTGAGTATTTTCTTTTAGTCAGCTCTTTAAAGTGGCTATGTGAATCAACTGAGTTAAATTTCAGATTCTGATCAATTTATTTTCTAAAAAAAGGCTGAAAGCATGTGTAAATGCAAAAGGTTGAAGAAATGGATTATACAGATGCTTAATAATTTCATAACTTTCAAGATTCCTTGAACACTCTCCCTTTCTAGCCACCTCTTTAAGGTGAGTACAAGAATCGGTAACATAAGATCCGGAGTTCAACCTCTTTAACTTCTAAAAAGGTTTGAACACATGCATGTACAGGGAAAAAATAAAACATAATAAAGATATGGATGATAAACCTGCTCGATAATTTCATGCCTCTGAAGATTCCTTGAATACCCTCCCTTTCCAGTGGCACAAAATGAACAGCGTAATGGGCAGCCTACCTGAATATCGGAATAAAACATGAAACAAGTTGAAAGTATTGCATGAGATAACATCAGAAATGCATAACTGAAGAAAATCTTCCTCCATCCAACTCCTAAAAGTAACTACAAAACATAAATGATTAAAAAAACACCTGTGATGATACACATGCAGTAAGTTTCATTGAACCCTTTTCATCTTCAACTGGAATGCCAACTGTTTCGATCAATCTATTATCCTCCAACTTTATCAATAACTGAATGATCAACAAAACGAACATACATAATTAAGAACTAAACCCCACAACAAAACAAAAGCCGAATATCTAATTTACTGGGGGGAAAATAATGGAGCTCCCAGAGATTATGATAATCTAAACATATATAAATCCAGAAATAAATCCTCTCTATCTAGTCATTACTTTGCACTACTGGTTGCCTCTTTAGAATTTAACTCCCTATAATTATTCACATAAAAATTATAATTCAACTTTTGTATATATACCAAACATCATTTCATCTTCAAATGCAATTTTTGCCACATGCTTTGGGATTTAAAGTTGATTAGTAAACATATCTTATGTTATCTAACCTCTTCACTTTTTCTTAAAGTATGTATTTGAGACCTATATTCAATATATATTCTGATGATTTCATCTCAAATGAAGTTTTTATGTAACGCTTTCAGAAACTATGTACTGAAAATACCTATGTTATCCAAACTCTTCATTTTTTTCTAAAAGCATATGTTTTTGACACATATTAGGACATGAGTATGAGACATGATCATCCGAATAAAAAACCTTCCAAAAGTTACGTAGCTGTATAGGACTCATACCAGCATCTTGCACTCAATCTCGAATCCGAATAACATAGAAATATGAAGCAATATATAACATTCAGGTAAAAAGGAAATTACCTTAACAGTGCCATCGGCAGCAGTAACAGTGTGATAAATTGGAGACCTTCCTATTTTCCATCCAGCTTCTATAAGATCGTTTCTAAATGCTTGAGGCACTATTTTATTAACAAAACAAAAAATAAGTTAAATATTCACCAAATTAATAAATAAAAGAAATTGTATAAAATGATTCTCACAGTGACTAAAATCTTGAATTTCTTTTGCCTTCCTCTTGTAAATTAAATGGTGTAGCTGTTTTCCTCTGTAGCTTTGCTAAACAATCAACAAAAAATGAGGGGGAAAACAATTATAAGAATTTTTTAGTGCAATAAATGAATGTAAATTTTTTAAGTTCTGTAATTACCTGGCCGAACTCGACGGCGAGTTGTTGAAGGTCATGCTCGGTCATGCCGAGGAGGACACGAGGGTCCACGTGAGGGGCACGCGAGGAGGAGGCGGTGAGATTGCGCGACGGCGAGGCAGTGGTGGAGGCGGAAGCGGAGACGGTGAAGGAACGATGGCGGGTTGCACGTGCGAAGGGGACGATGCACACGTGCTGAAGCACGGAGAATTTGGTGGCAATCATGGCTTTCGTCGTCTTTGAAGAGCAAAAGCCTCCCTGCGGATATCAACTTTCAGCCTCATGAAATGGCTAAAACCTTAAACCTCGCCATTTTCAGAAAAAGACGAATCTACCCCCTAGAGATCAACTGCTTTAGATTCTTTACTGGGCCCATAGTTTTCTTACGGTCCAAAAGAGATTGGGCTTTAATAGGTTAATTGTTGCCCGATTTAAATAATGAAAGTTTAGGGTAAATTACAAATTTAGCAACAAAACTTTACTTCTCTCTTATTTCACTCATTATATTTTTAATTTTTTTCAATTTAATAAATGAACTTTGTACATTGGATTTTTTTATTCACTCCACCGTTAACTTTATAACAATTTTATGACTTGACATAACAAAATGATTTCTTTAATCTTTAAAATTCATGTAAAAAAATTTAAAAAAATATTGGTCAAATCTCCAAAGTGACCTTCTGTTACCTTAGATGAAAGTTGTTGTTAATTGTTAGAGAAGAAAGATAGAGCGAGAAAGAAATGAGGTCTAAAGATAGGGACCAAATAACATCGCATCACCAGCCACTCATTAACAGTCTTGTTGTGGGGTGCAGGTGGAAAACGAGGTTGTGGTAGTGGTGGACTAGTTATAGTGATTATGAGCCTGGAGATGTATGACATGAGCCGCATCCGTATTCTCGCATTGATCAATACAGAGATGAACATGGTTAATCCTTTTTTTATGGAGTCATTTTACTTTTTTCCCTTTTTTCATTTAAAACAATTATTATTTTTTGTTTCTGTTTTTTTCATCTGAGCTCCTTTTTAACTCTATCTTCGCTCTCCTCCATCTCCTATTTCAACAACGTCGTTTTTGACGAAATACACCTTGTTTTACGTGTGATGGTTATTAGAAATGGTTTGTTGGGAACTTGGCATCAGGTGTTGTTGTTGGTACTTCTTCCTGCCGTATCCACCATGCTCCGACCAGCGGTGCCATCTCCGATCGTGTAAGGATACAAACTTACTCTTTTTTCTTCATGTTTTAAGTTTTCGGGTTAGATCTTTCTAGAGGATAACATACAAACCCGAAACAAACGAGAAATTTGCGTTCTTTTCTTTCGTTTATCTCTTCATCAGACCGTCAGATCGTCACCCAATTGAGATACATTATTCGTTACGACCGTGTTCACTTGTTGATCGTACAAATTTCTAATCGGAGTTAGCCTGAAATCTGAACAATGGTTGTCTAATAATGGTACTTCTTGTCCTTTTGTTTAATCTGATTTTTGCTTATTGTTTATTGATTTTAAAGCTTATTGGTGTTGGATTTGCTTTAGGGATTTAGTTTGACCAAAGGGATAAGACGATGGTGATTTCAGGTCAGGTTTCAGTGATGATGACTATTAGGGTCGTTTGGTTTAGGGAAGGTGGGATTATGTCCCTGTTTGGTTGATGGTTGATTGTGAATGTTATTATTAATAATATTTTATTATTAATAGTAGATTTTTGGGGTATATTATCAGGAATGTATCATTCCCTTAAGGCCCCGTTTGGTTCATGGAATATTTCATTCCTACGGGGAATGTTTTTTTCCGGGTTGAAGATACCCACGTTTGGTTTCTCCACCTTCTCAAATACCAGTCAAAAATTAATACCAACAGTGTTTTTTTTTCCCGTTTCTCCGGGAATGTTATTCCCCATCTCCCTCAGGTATTTTCTTATTCCCGTCCCCTGCTTCCTAAAATATCCTTCTCCCCGCTTGGTTCTGCTGAAACAAAATTTTCTTCTTCTTCAATTTGGCGTTGATTTCTGCTTCTGGCATATTAGGTTTTGCTTGGAGCCCTTCTAAAGACGAGAATTCCTTCTCCTGCTGATGACGAGAAGAAGCTTAAAGCCCAGCAATTCTCTCACAAGGTTGGAAAAGAATGGCAGAAGAATTGGTGCTAGATTTGGAGGAGCTTAAGCAGCTTCAATGCATCGCGAAGAGGCCACGTATTTTATCTTTTATTTCCTCTGAGATTCGGAACTTGGAAAAGGTCCCCCCCTTTTTCTTAGATATTGAAAATTTGATGTTTTGAATGAAACGCCGTCATGTTATTTTGATTCGATTCTTCATATTGAATCTAGTTTAGATATCCTGAACATTTCTAGTTTCTGGGTTTTTCTTAGAGGCTTTTCACGGGGTTTGCTTTCGCAGTGTAGAAGATTTCATATTCAATGGTGTTTGGCATTTTTCTTGGCTGTTTATTGAGTTCTTCTGTTGCAGACATTGAAAGAGGATGCAAATGGAGCTTCTCCTGCTGCTGCTCCACAAATTCCAATTCCTATTGCAACCTCAACAAATTCCAATGGTGTTTATTGAGTTCTTTTCTTTTCATTTCGTTTTATTAAAGTATAATCGGGGATGTCTACAAAATGGAGTTACAAGGACTTTGAATTCTTCCATTTCAAAAGCGCTGCTCTCCTGTCTTTTTCTCTTTCTTTTTTCCTTTCTCCATGAATGCACAAAAGATTTGATGTACAAGCAGTCTGCTTCAATTTCCGCCGCCACTTCTAGGCAATTTTGTTTACTTCTGTCAGAATCTATTTTAGATTTCAGGTTCATTTTCTTTTTTTTTCTTTCACAGGGCAAAGATTGTTTTCAAAACTGCTGGAGTTTTGCTGGATGAAATGCGAGATAAGGGATTCCAGGCACTTAAATACAAGGTTATTATTCTTGATGAAGTGCATGAAAGATCCATTGAGTCTGATCTTGTCCTTGTTTGTGTGAAGCAATTTCTACTGAAGAACAAAGACCTGAGGTTAACGATTAACATATTCGTTCAGTTTCACAATGTGTTTTATTGACAAATTCCCAATGTCTAAATTAATGCCGGTTTGTGTAAATTACAGAATATGTACGAGGAAGGGGATGAGGATATGAAAAGAACAATTGCCAAAGCATGGACTGATGCAAGATCTGGCAAGACTGGTGATTCTTTTAAGGGTTTTCGTTGAATTCCATATGAAAATGGGTATTTTTGGGGTGGATTTTAGCACAATGGTCTTTTCTATGCTTATTGTGGGATATTGTCTTCTTGAAGTTGCAGAAAACTTGTTTCTGGATGTTTTTTTCTTGGTGTGATGAAGTATTGAAATTTGGAAATAGGTGATGTTTTCTCCATGTTTAAACTATTGTTGGATAAGTTAGATTAACATGATTCGTCTGTTTTAGTCTCTTTGCTATTGGATTTGGTTCGGGGGGAATAGGTTCCATTGTGACCTGAACTCAGAAAACGTGTGGTGTTGCAGCTTATCCTATGTTTCAATTCCTTCTTGATTGCATGAATTTTGACTTCTTGGCAAAGTAATACCCTGCCTCTCCCTTTTTAGATTAGAGAGACAACAGTTGTCTTTAGGAAGACTTCACGATACAAAGTGATTCTGGTGGCCAAAGATTATGTTTATAGCTCTGTTTTGGTACTTAATTTTTCTTTTCTGTATATAATATATTAAAACGACATGCACCTCGAGAGTTGAAACCATAATCGAATCCAACCGTGTAATATAATTTGTTTTTCCATGTCATGCATCTGATAACATATCTGTCCATGGATTTGGTTGTGGCTTTTGTACCCAAATCATTATTCACCAAATAGTAAACTATTTCAAAATTTTATAATTAAATTGAAAAAAAAACAATTTTCTTTACCATGTACAAACCCAAGTTGGGGCAAGATCCAATACGTAAATCTTTTGTCCAAGATTTGGTTCATACAGGTTGGGAGAATAATTAGATCTTTAAACGAATCTACTTGAACGGAAGATAAAATAACCATATCTAACAAATAAAAGACAAACATCCCAAGAAAAAAACAACGAAATCTACATTACAAAATGGCATAACCCATATTTGCCATTAGTTTCGTTTCCAGAGAGGAAGAAAACTTCTATAGCTCTAAGCCGTATTTGTTTTGTATGCAAGATTTACACATGATCCATTGAGACAGCAGAAAAAGCAATGTTTTATTTTATTTAAGCATTGCAAAAAACCTACCTTGTTTTAATATATTTAGTTAAATGTTGATGTAAAATTTTAATATATTTTTACATAAATTATGTAAAATTTAATATTAATTAAAATTAAAATAATACATGATATATTTAAATACTCAAGTAATATACTATCAACAAATAGAATTTTTATATAAATAATTTTTATTTAAATATTTAGAATTTCACTTGTTAAAAAACAAATATAGAACAAGGACAATTTGGTAAAATATACATTCCAGTAATCTTTTATTCCTCCAACCAAACACTGTAATCTTACATTCCTGCCAAATCAACCAAACACAGTAATGTAACATTCCCAGTAATCCTATTCCCTGGTAATCTTTTATTCCCACTGGTAATCTTACATTCCGTGAACCAAACGCACCCTTTCATTTTTGGATTTATAAAAAAAATCTATAATTAAAATTTTACCCTTTCATTAAATCTCTTTATATTTTTAATTTTGTAAAAATATTATATAAATTTTATGAATTTAAATTTTTTAAAGAAAATATATAAATATCTTATATTCCTGCTAAATCAACCAAATATAAAATATAATATTCCCAGTAATCCTATTCCTTGATAATATTTTATTCCCACTGGTAATCTTACATTCCGTGAACCAAACGTACCCTTAAGGTGAAGGGGGATTGATGATGGTTGGTTTTGGCTTAATGCGTGTATTAAAGCTTGGGTTTACAGAATTTTCGGTTGACTAATATTAATATCTGACGAATTTTATTTTTTAAAATGTAAATCATACATGACTGCTTTTAATATTAAAATAAGCCATGTAATCAACTGCTATTAATGATAAAATGATGAAGTCTAAAAATTTCAATGTATAAAATTAATTTATTAAATTAAAAAAATTAAAAGTATAGTGAATGAAATATGAGAAAGAACAAAGTTTAGTTACTAAATTCATAATTTACCCAAAATTTTATTAACAAATGAACCCAATAATAAATCAAGCTTGCTTTTAATACCAATTACCTATTAAATGCTTGCGAAAATTATAAAATACAATTTGTTAATACAA